CAGGGCCGAGGTGGGGCCGGCCAGGGCCAAGCCCACCAGGGCCTGCAGGATCCCAAAGAACCTGGGGAGGAAGGGGCACGGTCACAGCTTGGCTTTTCCACTGAAATTGGTGAAATGAGGAGTTTTAAGGGATGGTCAGAGCTGCAGTACCTCTCATCTGTCACACAGCACTCCAGCAGGCCGTGCTGGAAGGGCAGCTGGATCAGGAACAGAGCTGGGGTGCCCTTGGAACAGAGATGGGAGAGGTTAAACAGCGCTGGGGAATGAGGGGCAGCTCTGGGCGGCAGCCACCCCGAGCCAGAGATCACAATCAGGGTTATCAGCCAGAAATTCACATTTATTATAGCCAGAAATTCCCAATTATTGGTACTATTGTTAGCCAGAAATTCCCAATTATTGGTACTCTTATTAGCCAGAAATTCCCAATTATTGTTACTATTATTAGCCAGAAACTCACAATTATTGTTACTATTGTTAGCCAGAAATTCCCAATTATTGTTACCATTATTCGACAGAAATTCACATTTATTTTTATGATTATTAGCCAGAAATTCCCAATTATTGTTACTACTATTAGCCAGAAATTCACTGTTATTATTACTATTATTAGCCAGAAATTCCTAATTATTGTTACTATTACTAGCCAGAAATTCACAATTATTGTTACTATTATTAGTCATAAATTCACAATTATTGTTACTATTATTAGTCATAAATTCACAATTATTGTGACTACTATTAGCCAGAAATTCCTAATTATTGTTACTATTATTAGCCAGAAATTCACATTTATTTTTATTATTATTAGCCAGAAATTCACAATTATTGTTACTACTATTAGCCAGAAATCCACTATTATTGTTACTACTATTAACCAGAAAAATCACAATTATTGTTACTATTGTTAGCCAGAAAAATCACAATTATTGTTACTACTATTACCTAGAAATTCACAATTATTGTTACTATTATTAGCCAGAAATTCCCAATTATTGTTACTATTGTTAGCCAGAAAAATCGCAATTATTGTTACTACTATCAGCCAGAAATTCACTATTATTGTTACTATTGTTAGCCAGAAATTCACTATTATTATTTTTATTATTCTTATTAGCCAGAAATTCCTAATTATTGTTACTATTATTAGCCAGAAATTCCCAATTATTGTTACTATTATTAGCCAGAAATTCCTAATTATTATTATTCTTATAAGCCAGAAATTCCCAATTATTGTTACTACTATTAACCAGAAAAATCATAATTATTGTTACTATTATTAGCCAGAAATTCCCAATTATGGTTATTGTTATCAGCCAGAAATTCCCAATTACTGTTACTATTATTAGCCAGAAATTCCTAACTATTGTTACTACTATTAGCCAGAAATTCACATTATTGTTACCATTATTCGACATAAATTCGCATTTATTTTTATTATTATTATCCAGAAATTCCTAATTATTGTTACTATTGTTAGCCAGAAAAATCACAATTATTATTGTTATTCTTATTAGCCAGAAAGTCACAATAATTATTGTTGTTATTCTTATTAGCCAGAAAATCCACAATTATTATTAGCCAGAAGTTCCCAATTATTGTTACTACTATTAGCCAGAAATTCACTATTATTGTTACTATTATTCGCCAGAAATTCCTAATTATTGTTACTATTGTTAGTCAGAAATTCCTAATTATTGTTACTACTATTAGCCAGAAAAATCACAATTATTGTTACTATTATTAGCCAGAAATTCCCAATTATTGTTACTATTATTAGCCAGAAATTCCCAATTATTGTTACTATTATTAGCCAGAAATTACCTATTATTGTTACTATTATTAGCCAGAAATTTCCAATTATTGTTACTATTGTTAGCCAGAAAAATCACAATTATTATTGTTATTCTTATTAGCCAGAAATTGACTATTATTATTACTACTATTAGCCAGAAATTCACAATTATTGTTAGTACTATTAGCCAGAAATTCCTAATTATTGTTACTATTATTA